CAAAACCCTGAAGCAGAACCCTGAACAAAAACCCAGAATCGCTCCAAAAACCCTGAACCAAACCCTGAACCAAAACCCTGAACCTCCCCAACAAAACCCTGAGCCAGAACCCGGAACCAAAACCCTGAACCTGTCCAACAAAACCTGGCCAGAATACGAGTTTAAACGTTGATCCACTGGCTGTGTGGCTGTAAATCCTCTCAGTTCAAGGATTTTAACCGTTAAATGTTGCAGCAAGTTTAAAGCTGCAGTAACTTTTAGAAATAATGTTTTTTTATATTTATTAAAACTGTCTTCATGTTGTGACAGTTTAATGTAAGACAGAAAATCTGTGAACTGATCGATCTCCACGTTTATTTACTTGTAAAAAGCCAAACGATGTCTGAGAGCGCTACAAAGGCGTCTCCATGGCGACTCAGTTTGGAAAAAAAAACTACAAAAATTTTTGACTTTAATCGCCAAATAATGTCTCTGCTGCCTGGATATTTAGCTGTTAGCACGTCAAGCAGTCTGTCTTAAGTCAGAGGCTTTTTCAGGTTAGTTGCTACACTGACTGCTAGTGGAGATCTTTCCACTAGCATCAGCAGATTTAAAAGATAAACAACAGCAACGTAGAAATTCAAGAAGCTTAGTGTTTTATTGAAACGAGTCGATACAAAAACAGGACAGAACATCAGATCCAGTTTTCACCATTTAGTCATGAAGCAACAGAAAAACAAAACCAGAAGAAAATCATTTAGTTTCCCTAAAAATGTCAGGATGACCTCAGTTCAGGTTTTTGTTTCTTTCACACACAGAACAGGTTAGAACATTAGATTATTAAAAACTATTCATGAATTAATTAATTGTATTTTTGTTACAGTGAAAAGCTTAAAGCAAAAGGAAACAATTATTTCTCAGAAACAGCCTGAAAATCTGCTAATAGACTAAAACGTTTTCATCCCATTTCCATGAAATAATTCCTGACATAAATCCCAATTTAAACCAAATATTTTCTTTATGTTTCATTTTTCTTATTTCTGCTGTTGGATTCTATCATTTGTTTTCTTCTGCTGTAATTTTTATTGCTGTCCTGGTTTTTCATAACGTACAAAAACACAACATGGTGGGAAGGGACTGAAATTGGTCTGAGTTAGCATCTAGCATTATATTTGCTGTTAGCTACATCGCTAATTTAGCCAACAGCCTTTCTGTCGTGTTTCCAACAGGAGCAGAGGAGACGTCACACTGGGTGAAACGAGATATGTTTAACAAATTTGCCTTTAGCATAACTAGCGCAGTTAGCATTAGTGACTAAATGGTAATCAGTTAGCATTAGTGATTAAATGGTAATCAGTTAGCATTAATGACTAAATGGTAATCAGTTAGCATTACTAACTAAATGGTAATCAGTTAGCATTAGTGATTAAATGGTAATCAGTTAGCATTACTAACTAAATGGTAATCAGTTAGCATTAGTGACTAAATGGTAATCAGTTAGCATTAATGACTAAATGGTAATCAGTTAGCATTACTAACTAAATGGTAATCAGTTAGCATTAGTGACTAAATGGTAATCAGTTAGCATTAATGACTAAATGTTAATCTATCTTCCATAAAGCTGCCAACTTTTCCAAATGTATTTTAATTGATTGTAATAAATCTTACTCTGTCCTGCTCAGCCTTCTTGTTATCTGCTGAAGCTATACTCTCTGTAATAGCTGTCATCTCTTCCCCATAACTTCCACACCAAACAGTGTTGATGCTAGCATAGATTAGCCATTTTAAGCTACAGTAATCTCCTGAATCTGGTGGGAAACCATCTTGTTGTTGCCCATTGTTATATGGAAACAATAAACCAATAAAAACAATAAAAAAATGATACAATTGGAATGTTTTCAATGTTTCTTTTGTCAACACACAAATGGTCACGGTTGAACTAAAGCAATAGAAAACCAGAGAAAACATCATCATTAAATCTGTTTCTTCTTTTCTAACGATGCTGTTTGGATTTTAACCCGTTCAGGTTGAACCTCGACCTTTAACCCGATGTTTTCTTTGCAACGCAAACCAGATGATAGCAAAATGCAGTTTCAACAAAATTAGGAAATCAATGATGTAGATTAAGCTGCTGCAATCCTTGTTTTCTAGATATACAGACACAGTATTGGCTACAAACTAAGTCAGCAAAGATAAAAGTGTTAGTCCTTTGGTTGGGTTTCCCTCCAACAGCTTCCACACCGAAGAGTGTTGATGCTAGTGCAAATTAGCCACTTTAAGCTAATAAAGAAAATAAAAATCACCAGATTCTGATAGAAAACCATTTTTATTGCCCTGAGGACATTTTGTTGAATTAAACCGTTAACCTCAATAAATATGATATAAAATGAAACGCTGGACAGTTTTCACAGTTAAACTAAAGCAATAGAAAACCAGAGAAAAGATTATTACTGTGGTTTTTCATATTTAAAGTGGATACTTCTTTTCTCATATTTAAAGTGGATACTTGATTTTTGCCCGACCTTGACCTTTAACCCGACTCCTTCTGCAACGCTAACCAGAGGATGGCTAACGGCTAACAGTTTCAACAAGATTAAGAAATCAACTATGAAAGTAAAGCTGCTAAGACGCTTATTGTCTAGATTTACAGGAGTCAGAATTGGCACAAACAAACCAAGCAAAGACAAAAACCTCAGAGTCTGTCTGTCGTTCCGTCTGTCGTTAATTCGGCCGATCCTCCAGTCGCTCCAGCTGTGGTTAATTGGGTTGTTCCGTCAGTCATTCCTTCGGTGGCCAGCGGCTGGATGAAGGAAGTGGACGGTTCTTGGTAGAGGTCGTGGTCGGGATGGTAGTTCTTCATGTGGGTTTTCAGGCAGTGGCTCTGGGTGAAGGCTTTGTCGCAGAGGGAACATCTGTAGGGTCTCTCTCCGTTGTGGGTCCTCATGTGGACGTTCAGGTGCTCCTGTCGAGAACACGCTTTGCCGCACACGCCGCAGCTGAAGCGCTTGATGCCCAGGTGGCTCTGGATGTGGACGTTCAGGGTGCTCTTGAGCTTGAAGTGGCGGCCGCAGTGGGAGCAGCCGTACGGCGTCTCCCCGGTGTGAACACGCATGTGTTTCTGCAGGTCGTACTTGTTGAAGAAGCTCTTGTTGCAGACGATGCAGACGAACGGCCGCTCGCCGCTGTGGGTCTTCATGTGCCCCGTCAGGGCGTTGTTGGACAGGAAGGTCTTGCAGCAGATGTGGCACAGGAACATGCGGTCCCTGGTGGTGTGGACCTTCATGTGCTCCTTCAGGGTGTGCTCCAGCTTGAAGCGCTTCCCGCAGACCTTGCAGCCGTAGTGCCGCTCGTTTGAGTGCGTCAACTTGTGGCGAGTCAGAGACCTGAGGTCGCTGACGGACCGGCCGCAGACGTTGCAGAGGTACCGGTCCCGACTCACGTGACTCTTCTTGTGAGCCGTGAGCTGGCCTCTCAGTCCAAACGTCTTTGGACACAAGTCGCACTTGTGTGGCCGGTCTTCCACGTGGATCCAGAGGTGGACGTTCAGGGCGGACTGGACAGCGAAGGTTTTGCTGCAGTGGCTGCATTTGAACTGCCGCTCCCCCGTGTGCAGGGAGACGTGGTTCTTGAGGCCCGAGGCGGTGAAGAACCCCTTCCCGCAGTACGAACAGTCATGGATCTTTTGGTGAACTTCAAAATGTCACCTTCATGTCTTCCACAGACTTCAAGGTCTCTCCCGCAGATGCTCTTCGGGTCTCCGATGTGCGCCCAGGCGTGTCTGGTCAAACCCGATATTGTCCGGTACCACACGCCGCACACCTGGCACAGCACCTTGCTCTCCTTGCCGTCCTCCATGAATCTCCTGGGGCCTTTATAGCTCCTTCTTTTCGGCTGTGGATCGTCGCCTTCCTCCAGATCTTCGGCGTTTGGTTCCCACTCATCATCACCGTCTTGCATCGCCTCAATTTCCCCTCCAGAACCCGCGTCGCTCGCAGCCGCCTGCCCCGACCCTCTGCTGCGGTCCAGATCCTCCGGGCTGCAGAGACGCAACAAGTTAGGACAGGTCTGCTCTCTCCGATACGGGTCGGTTCTGCTGGCCAGCGGTTACCTTTGAAGCGGAGCGGTTTCATCCTCCAGAACCACACAGTCAGTGGGCTGAGGTTCGTCCTTTATCAGCTGAAGGTTCTGCTCCTCGTTTTCACGGATCTCGCCTTCTGTCTGAGGAGGAAACCAACAAATGCTTCAACGTTCAGTTCAAAGTTTCATTCTGACCATTTTCTGCTTCCTGCAGGGCAGTTTGGCCTGAAGGTCAGAGACTGATCAGATCCACCCAGCAGGACCGGGATTCAATCAGGAACCTCAGGGATCTCTGCAGGGATCTGTCCACAAAACGCCGTCGAATGTCTGATTCACTTGACAGAACTTTTGGTCGAACAAAATCAGCACCAAAGACTAAAAGGTTAAGTTGCAAAAACCCTGAAGCATTAATCATGAACATTAGTGCTGCTAAAGCGCTAAGCTAACGCTAACACTCTGCCAGCAGGTACACAAAGATGTTGGGCTGTTCTGTCCAAACCAATCATCAGTAAATGTTGGTTTGTTTCCACTGAATCTTCTGCAGAGTTGTTCATACTGCAGCAGAGACAGAGGACTTTTCCTACCTTCAGTTTGACGTAGAGGACGGACTTCTTGGTCCCGGTGGACCTCATGCTCCTGTAGATCTCCTCCGGCGTCAGGTTGTTCATGTTGAGCTTCTGCAGCTTCCTGCGGCGGTCGGACTTGTACATGTGGATCTTTTTGTCGTGTCCGGCCAGCTGAGGGAAGGAGAGCCGCAGCAGGTCCAAGAACTCAGCCTCCTGCATCCTTCGAGGACATTTCAGGTCCTGCACCGCCGACGTCTGCAGCTCTGGAACAGAGACGACTTCAGCTGGAGCAGCTTCACCGCCACGAAGCAGAGCTTTAAACTCACCACTTTCTGTGGGAGCGTCTGACTGGTGTCCCTCCAACACGCAGACTCTGAGGAGGTGGTGAGCCGGTGCCTCCCCGGCGCGCGGTCGGCCTCGCCGCCTCCTCTGAGGCTGATCGACGGGAGACGACAACCTGAGGGAACAGAGGAGGCGTGTGGCGGAAACCCGGGCAGCAGAGCAGGACAGAGTGTGGATCCGGGTTACCTCAGGTTCTCCTCGGTTTGATCGCTGGACGGCGTTGCGGAGCTGACGCTCAACTCCTCATCCAGCTGATGAAGAACGTCGATGCTGCTGCTCTGAGGACTGACTGCTGTCTGCAAACGTTCACAAAGTGAAAGAGCGTGTTTATGATAAACGGGTTCAGAGGCACTGGATGGAAAATATGAGAATGTTTAAATATTATTACTTTGAAGACACTGCAAAAACCGGCATCATGAACACAAACACAGCAACTCAGCACACACACACCATCACCTAGTGCAACATCAACGCGCGCGCCCGCCTGCCATGACTTTGAGTCGCCGCCATCAAGCACAACATCAAGCAGGATTTCTGTCAGTAACGTTTTGGTTTAACCCTTTCAGTTCCTGGATTTTCCTGCTGGATCTTAAAACCTCACAGGATGATTCCTTCTAAAACTGACCCAGAACCAGCCTGATGTTCTGCTGAATCAGTGATAACGGGTTGGGAGTGGAAACCTTCAGGCGGACGTAGAGGGCGGAGTTCCCGCTGGTTCTGATGGTTCTGTGGATCTCCTCAGGGGTCAGCGCGCTGACCCTCAGCGGGTGCAGCTTCCTGCTGGTGTCGGTTATGAACAGGTCGAACGGTTCTCCTGCAGCCAGCTGAGGGACGGAGGACCGCAGCAGGTCCAGGAAGTCCGACTCCGGCAGATCCCGAGGACAGCTCAGGTTCTGAATGGGACTCTTCTGAAACACTGGAAACAGAACCAAACCTTCAGCTGCAGCTCAGAACAAGCTGCTTTCCCCTCAGGAAACCCAGCAGACGGTCCGTCTGGACCGTACCGATGTTGGAGAGCACCTCGGTCTCCGGGTTGTCCAGAACCCGGACCCGGAAGTCCAGGTGGGTCATGGAGCTCAGAGGTTTACTGGCTCTCCTCTTCTCAGGTCGGACCCGGGATGGAAATGACCTGGAAAAGTCAGAAACTCGTCAACAACCTGAACTCTTCCGGATCAGTCCGTCATTTAGTCCCCAGAGTAACAGATCTGTAACCTTGGCGATATCTCGTAGTCTGGGTCCGTCAGATCCTCCCGTTTCGGTCTGGACCGCGGCGTCGCCTGAACCACGGGGCTGAACGTCTTCATCATGGTCATCATCACCGTACCACAGGAAGTCCAGGCTCCCAGAGTCCCTCCCATCTGGACCACAATAACAATCAAACAGCCTGACGATGCTCAATGTCATCAGTTCAATAAACCTGATCACATCTGGATCAACGTTTATAAATAAACAGACAAATTCTGAACTGTTCCAATAAAGTTTGATCAAAATATTCAGATGATTTCAATATTCAGCCGAAACTTAGCAAGTTAAATATTTAATAAGCAATAAATGAAATTAAATATATCTCTCTTAAAATATCAGAAGGTGTTTCAGCTCTCTGAGATATTTAGCAAAATAAATATTTAGATTTTTTTAAAATCTCAGATTCAAATCAGTTTATTAAGTTTTCGATTTAATCCAGATTGTGGTTTTAATTCATCTTGTTTCCTGTTTGATATCTCAGATTTATTTTTATTGCCCATAAACGCATCAGGTGATTTATTACATTTTATTGATCGACATTATCAACGTTGTTATGGTTCGTTTTAAATTTCAAACACAAACAGTGAACTTTGACTATGCAGCAGGATTTATGTGCAAAGTCACAGAGCTGCTTTCAACTGATCAACTCCAGATTTCCATAAAGTAACGTTTATTCTGACCGGTTCGGTTCGGTGCATGAACCCATCAGCTCCTCCTACCTGGGTTCTGCTGCTCCTCTCCAACCAGCAGCTTGTGGTTCTGCGGTTCCGGACCCGCTTCGGCTTCACGCTCCTCTGCTGGCCGCCACTGACCTGCTCGGTCCAGCCGGACCTGCGGCTGCAGCAGCTCCAGCTGCCGCCGCTGCCGGTCGATCTCCCGTCTGAAGCTCGACGCCTCCTGCTCGTAGTCGGCCACGGTTCGCTCCACCACCGCCAGGATCTCCCGGGCCGCGGTGCTCAGCTTCTCGGTGATGATTCCTCTCAGGATGCCGCTCTTGGACATGTTGAGTGGATCGGAACCGCCGCTGCTGCAGTAAAACATCCTGGTTTTCCTCTGTTTGTGTCAAAAACTTCTGGATGGCCGTTGGACGGATCTACTTCCGGTGCTTGGGGCGGAAACACGTAACGGCTGAAAACTGACAGGAAGGAGCAGTGGCGCCATCTTGTGTTCGCCTCTGGAGCTGCAGCCGAAATTAGACCTTAAACGTTTATCACCAGAATTAAACTAAAAAAACAGTTAAAACATGTAATTCATACATTCATTTGGTTTATTTAAATCAAGTTTATTAGATCCTTCTCTAAAAATATATATTTAATTCTTAATTTGTCCAAATTTAACCTAATTTTTAAATAGAATCTCTGTTCTCGACTTAATTAAATCTTTTCTTTATTCCTCTGGTTGATAAAACTAATCTATTTTCCACCTGTTGCTCGTTGTTATCTTGTCTTTTGTGTGTAAATGTGAAAGAATCACTGTTCAACTTCACAAACACCCAGAATCTTATTCAGTCAATCATAAAATCACACCAACAGCTCAACATAATCATCATAAACCGAAACCACACGAAGAAATGAGATACCTTAGAAAAATAGAAAAAGTTAACAGTTCCACCCAGTGATCTGATTGGCTATTTTAGATCAATTACTTTTCGATCCAGGTGTTTATGTGATGCGTCGTGTCAGGTCTGGATGAATCCTGACCTGGATGAATCCTGGCAGGATGATCTGGATGAATCCAGATCATCCTGGATGAATCCAGATCATCCTGCCAGGGATCCAACAATAATTATCAACCATCTCATTTCAAACTGGTTCCTGAACCCAGAGCTCTCCTGACCTCTGACCCCTGACCCAGGGCATCAAACAGCAGACTAAAAATGAGCATCATTTCATATAACATCTTCAAACTCTGATAAAAAAGACATGATCAGTTTCAATACCAAAACATCTTTTACACTCAATATTTGGATTAGTTTCCAAATCCTTTGGTTACAACAAAAACATTTCAGATGATTATGATTTATACGCTTAATAATGTGATCTAATATGAAAAACTACTGATTAAGCCGATTCTAATCAAATCATGATCATATTTAATAAAATTGTTCTACTGATTAAGTTATGTATCGATTAAACTGAGTCTGAATCCAATCAGGATCTGTCTTACATTTAAACATGCGCTAAAGTTAAACATAACTGAAAATAGCATCATTAAACTAATATTACCAACACTTTCCACTTGACTAAAAAATCTCAGGCATTCTGTTGTTTTGCATTTGTTTATTAATTGAAAGAATGTCTCATATCGAAATAAGATGAATTTATTTCCTTATCGTCCTTCTGTAATGAGTAGAAAAAAACTTTGTTATTACTGTCAGTGCAGTGCAGCCTCTGATTGGCTGATCAGGCCTCTGATGGCTGCTTCACCCAACACTCCCATTCACAGAAATGCAAGTTGGCTCCAAGATGTGGCTTTGACACATTTCAACCCTGATTATAATATTTTATATTTACACACAACAGCTTGCACAGTGTGATAACTGAGAATGTAACTGTGAATAATTGTGCCGTCATTTCTGCATCACTTGTTGTGGTGCAGGAAACTGTTCAACCGAATAAAAGATCACACAGTGAGGCAGAAATACAATAATAAAAAATTGAAGGATTTATTCAAAATATTAACAATTCAAATAGAATTCAAAACAACCTGGGAACGTAAAAAAGTAATGGTTTTCAGAAATTCCCCTAAAAATATAAAACATTTATAAAACTTAAAAACTTCAGGAAATTCTGCAGAAACCGTTTTGTCACATTTTATTAAGAAACGTCCCGAGTGTGAGGAGGAGGAGGAGCGATGAGAAGCCGGAGCTTCGAACCAAAATCTGCAGTTTGGTCTCAGTTTCAACACGGAAACGACGAGCAGCAGCAGAACTTCAAACATGAACGGAACAAATCAGACGTAACAGAAACACAGAGACCCAAAACACGTTTCCTTCTTTAACCAGAACCAGAACCACCCGCAGTTCTGGTTCTCAGAACTGCGGGTGGTTCTGGTTCTGATATTTTGTACCTGGATGTTGCTGACAGCTGAACAGCAGCAGCATGAGCTGATATTCAGACGTTGCTGCTCCAGTTTTATGGTTCTTTTTCCTGAGGGGACGCAGGTTTCCTCTGCAGGCGACGTCCAGGTTCTGGTCTTTGGCTTCAGGTCACTTCTGCTCAGGCAGGACGCCCCCTGCTGGCAGGACGCCCCCTGCAGGCAGGACGCCCCCTGCAGGCAGGACGCCCCCTGCTGGCAGGACGCCCCCTGCAGGCAGGACGCCCCCTGCAGGCAGGATGCCCCCAGCTGGCAGGACGCCCCCTGCTGGCAGGACGCCCCCTGCTGGCAGGACGCCCCCAGCTGGCAGGACGCCCCCTGCAGGCAGGATGCCCCCTGCAGGCGGATGTCGTTTCATATTCTGACCTAAACAGATTTAAATGTAGCTTTAAATTTTATAATGATTTCAAGGTTTAACTCAGTTTCTCAATTATTTTCTACCAAATTATAAAATAACAAATTGACTCAGAATGTCAGTAGTTTAATATATAATTTCAAACTTCAGTTTCTGAATCCAGTTTGTGACGTTTTCTGATATTTTTCCTAAACTTGTTTTCCGTTTGCTGCTCAGTATCGGTTTTCTTTTTAACGTTTCAAACTTTGTTTTCTGATGTTTGGTGTAAATTGTGAAGCATTGGGCAGCGAGCGCTCAGTCTGTGAAAAAGACCAAACGATTCGCTGAACTGTTTCAAAACATTCAAACTGTTTAAACTTGTCTGCTTTTCAGCTTGTTCTTTTTCAAAAGGTATTTAGCTTTTTATCATCAACAAATTTGGAACAACATTGTTTATCTTTAAACTTGTCAGAGGAACTGAAAAGCTGCAGAACATTTTGCATTTGCAGTGAAAAACTTTGTTTTTTTCTGGCTTTTCTCTACGAGTTTCAGTCACTGATGATGGAGAATCAGGACCAAACAAGGACGTTTTTTGGTTTGTTTTGTTCTTAAAATGAGCATGAAGTTATAATTTCATCAGAAGTTCACATCGAACTGCGATAAAATGAAAAAGATTCCTTTTTTCCAATTAGAATATTTTTCTCATCACTGTGATTCTGCTAATATGTTTTAATGAATATTACGAGGTTAGTCTTGTGTTTACCAGAAAGCCTCTGGCGTCAGGCCTGTGCGTTACCTGTGTGTCGACCCATGTGTCCCCGGAAGCCCGTTTTGCTGAGGAAAGACTTCCCGCAGACGCTGCAGGTGTAGGTCTTGGCGTGAGTCCGGAGGTGGTTCTTCAGTGAGGCCGAGGAGTCGAAGCGCTCCCGGCAGACCCCGCAGAGGAAGCCCGGGTTGTTGACGTGGCTCCACACGTGTCTGACCAGGATCCTCTTGGACTGGTGGTACGTCCGACACACTTCACACAGATGCTGAGGTTTATTAGATGGAGGCAAACTGCTGCTTGTGTTTGCAGCTGAAGGCCTGGGAGTTTTATTCTCCAACAGCTTCCCTGCCTCTGTGTTGGTTTGCTGCGAGTCTCTGTCAGATCTCTGAGGCTTTGGAGTCGATAAGCTGGAGGACTTTGAGTCTTTCTCTCCGTCTCCATTGTCACTATCAACTATCTCCACCAGCTCCGTGTTCTTGATGGCGTTCACTGCTGCTTCATTTCCGTCTTCTGTTCTGTTCTTCTGCTGCTTTGCATCCTGACTGGACAGCTGAGGCTGTGAAGCAGCTTTGTCTCCATCATCATCATCCTCAATATCGATGGTTTCCACCTCTTTGATCCTCAGGTTTATTGATCCAAGTGGAAGTTTGACGTCTTTCTTCTTCTCCTTCTTCGTCTTCTCGTGTTTTTTGCTGGTGTTCTGCTCCATTTCATTTTCTGGCCTAATGGGGAGAAAAGACGACAGCCGGGAGGACTCTATGCTTTCACACTCATCGTAGTCCTCACTGTCCTCCGTTTCTTCATCTTCTACCTGGCTGTTCGCCGCCTCGCCTGAATGTTTCTGTCCCGTCGGCTCCACAGGCGGATCCACAGGTTCAAGCTTCACCTTGGGCTCTGAGCTTTGCCCAGACGACCCCGGCTGCAGAAGAGCGAGCGAGAGCTTGCAAACCAGAGGATTTTTGTGGTAATTTTCGTCCTCGCTGTCGTCCGTCCGCTCATCGTCCGTCTGGGTGTTTGGCGTTGGGTTGGGATGTTTGTCCGTCTCCTCCACAGGATCTCTAGCTGCACTGCTTTTGGGCACAACGGGCTCCAGACCCGACACTTTGGAGGGCTACTGAACGTGCTGTCCTCGCTGTCTTCGGTTTCATCATCCTCACTTGATGCTGCTGCGGTGGACTGTCTCTTCACTCTCTTTCTTCGTTTTTTCCACTTCTGCTGCAAGGCAAACATAAGTTAGCATGGTTAACGGATGCTTTGCATTAACATGTCTACCAAAATAAAAGGCAACAACTTATTAAGGAGGCCCCGCCTATCTGACACACTAACAATGTGTAAATCAGTCGGCCATCAAGCACCCAGTAACGTTAGCAGCAGCTAATGCTAAAGCGCTAAGCGATCAGTTCAATTCACACACAACTTGTATTTTCTGCAATTCCCTTAGACATTGTACTGATGTCTATGTTTTGCTCTTTAGTCTCATTTCTTTTCCTGTTGAAAGAGAGAAAAAAGAGTCAACAGGAAACTGACCTGCTGCATCCACCTACTTCAAAATAAGAGCATGAATATAAAAGTTATTGACTATTTTTAACAGTTAATAACCAAAACTTCAACACAGGCGTCAAACTTTAATCAACAGAAAGATGACAAAACCACCAAGTAGAGTGCTAAGTTATGGCCGTAGCGCTAACTGGGCTAACAGCTAGCTTTAGCTTTAGCACTTCTGCTAATAGCTTCACTATTAGCAGAAGTGAGTCCAGCACTGAAAGTTTGCAACTCAGACCTGAAGATGCAGATTTTGTGCCTTGAAGTTCCTGAACTTTTGAAAAGATTATTTTTCTAATTATTAAAGGAAAAAAACATTTTTTGAACAGAACTCGGCTTTTGAACTGGATCTGAATCTCTTCTACATGTGTGAACACAAACCACTGGTTAGAAAACGCAGTCGCCACGAACACCGACGAACCGGCGTGGTTTGGTCTCAGCCAAGCGCTGCATCGTCGCGCAGCATCGTCGCGCAGCATCGTCGCGCAGCATCGTCGCGCAGCATCGTCGCGCTGCGATTCATTTTTAATCCTCACTGGGATCCGTCTACAGCCTGGAGTAACACTCAGGACTCACCTGGAGGGCGAAACGTCAGAGCGGCTCCGTTTCACGCTGGTCTGGACGTCACGCTGCTCCTGGAAGAGTTTGAGACCCAAATGAAGCCGACACCTCCCATCTGCAGCATCGCCACTGCAGCATCGCCACTGCAGCATCGCCATGCGCTGCTGGAGCCTCACAGGAAAGAGAAACGGCTTCTGACCTTCAGGCGGACGTAGAGCAGAGAACCGCCGGCGGATCTCAGGGTCCTGCTGATGTCATCAGACGTCAGATTCTGCAGGTTGATGGGCTTCACGTCGCCGCCGTGACCGGTCAGGAAGTCCAACGCTTCTCCAGCCAGCTGAGGGAAGGTCGACCTCAGCAAGCTGAGGAACTCGGCCTCCTGCAGCGTCCCGGGACACTGCAGCTCCAGGACGGGATATTTCTGCAGCACTGGGAGGAACAGAGGCCGTCGGTCACCATGGAACCTGAACAGAACCACAACTGCAGCGACCTAAAGAGGAACGATCTAGAGCCATAGATCTAGATCAGCTTCAGTTCTTCCAGCTGGAAACTAGAGATCAGGCTGACCTCTGACCTGCCTCCTCTGTTCCTCAGTGGGCCTTCTCCCAGCTGCAGAACATTTCCAGAACCAGAGGACTAAAGTCTCAGATCTTAAAACTCATCCAGGCTTTGATTCCTGCAGCTTTCAGCTTCTATGCACCACAAATCTGGAACAAACATTCAGAAAACTGCAAAACTGCTGAAACATTGAATGGCTTTAAATCTAGACTACAAACCCAGCTGCAGTCTATAGCTGATTGATTAATTATCAGTGAAACATTAATCAATAACCTCATGTGTAACATCCACAAAATGTAACACTGCAGCTGTTGACATCGTTTCTATCCGTTTGTATTTTTGAGTTTTCATGATGAAAGATCTTTGATCTGCCATGTCACTGAAACCTGCTATAGAAATAAACTTGATTGATTGATTGACTATTGGAACCTTTAAGTTCACCTAGAGGAGAGGCAACGTCTATCGTGGGGTCGGCCACGATGCAGATCTTCAGCTCCACCAGGTCTTCAGGGTCAGAGGTCGCCCTGCTGGCTTCCTGGATGCTGACAAAATAAGAGAAAATAGAGAAATGAGTCAGAAACCAAAGAGTTTAACTGAGGATGGAGATTTATAAGGATTTATCAATATGATTCCAATATCACTCCATGTCACCACCCAAATACGGCACAGGAACCGAAAAGCAAAATCGTTAAGCTAGCAGCTAAACGAGTCCAAGTAACTGAACTACTGAGAACCAGTTCTTATAATGAACCAGTTCCAGTAGGGAACCTGTTTTATAGAGAACCAGTTCTTATAATGAACCAGTTCCAGTAGGGAACCTGTTCTTATAGAGAACCAGTTCTTATAATGAACCAGTTCCAGTAGGGAACCTGTTCTTATAGAGAACCAGTTCTTATAATGAACCAGTTCCAGTAGGGAACCTGTTCTTATAGAGAACCAGTTCTTATAATGAACCAGTTCCAGTAGGGAACCTGTTCTTATAGAGAACCAGTTCTTATAGTGAACCAGTTCTTATAGAGAACCAGTTCTTATAGTGAACCAGTTCTTATAGTGAACCAGTTCTTATAGAGAACCAGTTCTTATAATGAACCAGTTCCAGTAGGGAACCTGTTCTTATAGAGAACCAGTTCTTATAGTGAACCAGTTCTTATAGAGAACCAGTTCTTATAATGAACCAGTTCCAGTAGGGAACCTGTTCTTATAGAGAACCAGTTCTTATAATGAACCAGTTCCAGTAGGGAACCTGTTCTTATAGAGAACCAGTTCTTATAATGAACCAGTTCCAGTAGGGAACCTGTTCTTATAGTGAACCAGTTCTTATGGAGAACCAGTTCTTAGAGAACCAGTTCTTATAGTGAACCAGTTCCTATAGAGAACCAGTTCTTATAGAGAACCAGTTCCTATAGAGAACCAGTTCTTATAGAGAACCAGTTCCTATAGAGAACCAGTTCTTATAGAGAACCAGTTCTTATAGTGAACCAGTTCCTATAGAGAACCAGTTCTTATAGAGAACCAGTTCTAGTAGGGAACCAGTTCCTATAGAGAACCAGTTCTTATAGAGAACCAGTTCCTATAGAGAACCAGTTCTTATGGAGAACCAGTTCCTATAGAGAACCAGTTCTTATAGAGAACCAGTTCTTATAGTGAACCAGTTCCTATAGAGAACCAGTTCTTATAGAGAACCAGTTCTAGTAGGGAACCAGTTCTTATAGAGAACCAGTTCTAGTAGGGAACCAGTTCTAGTAGGGAACCAGTTCTTTTCGATCCCCAACCCCCAGTTTAACCCTGGCTGTTCCTGACTCACCTGGCCTGTGGAGTTCTTGGACGAGGATCTTTATATTCATCGGCTTCTTTCTGAGGAACATCCTTCTGGAGTTTCATAGATACGACAGAGTCGGATTAAATGTCTGCGGTGCGTCTGAGGTAAAGGATTCGGGGTGGACGTACCAGCTCCTGGATGCAGATGACCGAAGCCTCCAGAGAGTCGATGGTCGCCCTGATCTCCTCTGGATTCACACTCTTCAGGTTCAGCTGCAGCATCTTCTGGCCTTGCAGAGCAAAAACACTGAAGGGCCGATCTGAAGCCAGCCGAGAAAACGTGGATCTGAGGAAGGCCAAGAAGTCCGACTGCTGCAGACCTCGGGGACATGTCAGCACATGGATCGGAAACTTCCTAAAAACTGAAAAAACAGACAAGAAAAGCAAAACGCAGGAGCTCAGATCAAGTTTTACTGACGCTGCTAGCAAACACAGAGCTGCTTCACGTCTGTATCTAATGTAAGAGTTAAAGAAAATGATCAGTTTGGAGTTTCAGGAGTTTAAATAAACTACAGTTTAACTACCGAGAGGAGATGGCTGGAGCTTTCTAACTGAATCATAAAGTCAAAGTTCAACAGGTAGAAAAAAGAAACTAAAGTATTTCCTTTTAATATGGGATTCCTCAGGGCTCAATGCTTGGTCCTGTCCAGTTCTCACTATAAATGTTTTGGATCCATCCTCAATGAGCAAAATGTTTTTATTATTATTATTGTTATAGAGCGGAAAATCTTTCTTTTCAGATTTTTATTAAACTTTAAATATATTCATAAAATATTTTAACTCTGGATGTTTGTTTCCCGGGGAAATCCTGAAAATGTTACTTTAATTTCAACAGCTGGGGAATTAAACAAACAACCCAGTGAGGAGTTTCTAAATAAGCTCCCATGGGGAATAAAACTTACCGACATTTTAAACCACGTGTTGAAAAGACGAGTGAGGAGATCCTCCCAGTGAGGAGATCCTCTCAGTGAGAAGATCCTCTACCAGTGAGGAGATCCTCTCAGTGAGAAGATCCTCTCCCAGTGAGGAGATCCTCTCCCAGTGAGGAGATCCTCTCCCATTGAGGAGATCCTCTCTCAGTGAGGAAATCCTCTCTCAGTGAGGAGATCCTCTCTCAGTGAGGAAATCCTCTCTCAGTGAGGAAATCCTCTCTCAGTGAGAAGATCCTCTCCCAGTGAGGAGATCCTCTCCCAGTGAGGAGATCCTCTCCCAGTGAGGAGATCCTCTCCCATTGAGGAGATCCTCTCTCAGTGAGGAAATCCTCTCTCAGTGAGGAGATCCTCCCAGTGAGGAGATCCTCTCCCAGTGAGGAGATCCTCTCCCAGTGAGGAGATCCTCTTCCAGTGAGGAGATCCTCTCCCAGTGAGGAGATCCTCTCCCATTGAGGAGATCCTCTCTCAGTGAGGAAATCCTCTCTCAGTGAGGAAATCCTCTCTCAGTGAGGAAATCCTCTCTCAGTGAGAAGATCCTCTCCCAGTGAGGAGATCCTCTCCCAGTGAGGAGATCCTCTCCCAGTGAGGAGATCCTCTCCCATTGAGGAGATCCTCTCTCAGTGAGGAAATCCTCTCTCAGTGAGGAGATCCTCTCTCAGTGAGGAAATCCTCTCTCAGTGAGAAGATCCTCTCCCAGTGAGGAGATCCTCTCCCAGTGAGGAGATCCTCTCCCAGTGAGGAGATCCTCTCTCAGTGAGGAAATCCTCTCTCAGTGAGAAGATCCTCTCCCAGTGAGGAGATCCTCTCCCAGTGAGGAGATCCTCTCCCAGTGAGGAGATCCTCTCCCATTGAGGAGATCCTCTCTCAGTGAGGAAATCCTCTCTCAGTGAGGAGATCCTCTCAGTGAGAAGATCCTCTCCCAGTGAGGAGATCCTCTCCCAGTGAGGAGATCCTCTCCCAGTGAGGAGATCCTCTCCCAGTGAGGAGATCCTCTCCCATTGAGGAGATCCTCTCTCAGTGAGGAAATCCTCTCTCAGTGAGGAAATCCTCTCTCAGTGAGGAGATCCTCCCAGTGAGGAGATCCTCTCCCAGTGAGGAGATCCTCTCCCATTGAGGAGATCCTCTCCCAGTGAGGAGATCCTCTCCCAGTGAGGAGATCCTCCCAGTGAGGAGATCCTCTCTCAGTGAGGAAATCCTCTCTCAGTGAGGAGATCCTCCCAGTGAGGAGATCCTCTCCCAGTGAGGAGATCCTCTCCCATTGAGGAGATCCTCTCCCAGTGAGGAGATCCTCTCCCAGTGAGGAGATCCTCCCAGTGAGGAGATCCTCTCCCAGTGAGGAGATCCTCTCCCAGTGAGGAGATTCTTCCAGTGAGGAGATCCTCTCCCATTGAGGAGATCCTCTCCCAGTGAGGAGATCCTCCCAGTGAGGAGATCCTCTCCCAGTGAGGAGATCCTCTCCCAGTGAGGAGATCCTCTCAGTGAGGAGATCCTCTCCCATTGAGGAGATCCTCTCCCAGTGAGGAGATCCACTCCCAGTGAGGAGATCCACTCCCAGTGAGGAGATCCTCTCAGTGAGGAGATCCACTCCCAGTGAGGAGATCCTCTCAGTGAGGAGATCCTCTCCCAGTGAGGAGATCTAGTCCCAGTGAGGAGATCCACTCCCAGTGAGGAGATCCTCTCAGTGAGGAGATCCTCTCAGTGAGGAGATCCTCTCAGTGAGGAGATCCTCTCCCAGTGAGGAGATCCACTCCCAGTGAGGAGATCCTCTCAGTGAGGAGATCCTCCCAGTGAGGAGATCTACTCCCAGTGAGGAAATCCTCTCCCAGTGAGGAGATCCTCTCAGTGAGAAGATCCTCTCCCAGTGAGGAGATCTACTCCCAGTGAGGAGATCCTCCCAGTCTGTTCATTGTGAAAGCTGCCATGTTGACTGTGGGATCATTTCTGTTTCTACTTCTATATGAGATTTCTGCTTTTATCAACTGCATCATCAACACAAAAGGGCAGGAAAGTCTTAGTTACTGAGCTGCGGGTTGAAAGTGGAAGAAGCTCCGTCCTGAGAGGAAAACAGATCCATCTGGGATTCCTGCAGGTAGCAGATCTTCAGGTTGATGTGAGTGTCTTCATCATCTGCTGGGTTTTTATTTCTGGAAGACAGAAAAAGCAGAATTAAAAGAGCAGCTGAAACAGATCAGCCTGTCTGGACACTGAGAGGTTTTTACCTGGTACTGGGTGGAGCTGGACGCTCTCCGTCCTGATTGTTCTGCCGAGTCTCTTCTGTTCTATTATTGGGTTTCTCTGGATGCTGAGAGGAAAATGTTTCTAAGTTATCAGGAAATCGGAGGACTTCAGCGACTGAGTAGGCCTGCAGTACCTGGAGCCGGATGTAGAGGGCAGACGTCCCGGCCGCCGCGCAGATCAGCTCAGGTGTGAAGGCCTGCAGGTGGAGAGGCTGCAGCTTCCTGTTGCGGTCGCACTTAAAGGATTCAAACAGCGTCAGCTGTGGAAACTTGGACCTGAGCAGATTCAGGAAGTCCGCTTCCTTCATCCCACGAGGACACTCCAGTTTATTCAGACGGTATTTCTTCAGCACTGAAACACAAACAACGTCAGCAGGAACAGACAGAGAAGAAAACAAATAAAGACCCGATAAACACATTTCAGACGTGTTGAGGGGAAAACAGAAACATATTAATGGTTTTTATGCAAAAGCCTCCATATTCTAAAAGACCGACAACATTTGCAACAGAGAATGTATGAATAAAAAATGATTCCTCCTCTTTTATCCAACAGAATCAGTTATTTGCTTTGTGAATCCATTTCATATTCATGCACTTAAAACATTGAAAGTGCTTTTTATAAATTATAATGTTTTTCAGAAAGGTGGAGAGAAGATGAGCAAAAGTAATAATCTAATGGATCTGGGAATCCTCCAGATCCATTAGATTAGATCAATATTCAATCCATTTTTGGTTTGGTTTAAGGACCCGTAAGAGGTTCAGAGGTTATGACGCAGCGTTTATTATCAATAACGATGATAATTATTGATCACAGAATAAAAAGGAAAGGCCTCCAGGCTCCTCCACCTTCTGCCGTGACGACTGTGATGCTGGAGTCCTCCAGGACGTGAATCCGGAGGTTGATGTGTGTGTCTGTTTCTTTGAGCTGACATTTGTTTTGAGACTCTTTTCTGAGGAAAAAAACAACATTTAGAAAACTAAACATGACTTTAAATAATTAATAACAGAAAATTATTATAAGAAATGATAATAAATCACTTTTTTCTTGGTGCCTCTGTCAGTAGATCTTTCAGTCTGGACTTGATCTTTCCCTCTGAAGACTAAAGAGAAAAAACATTTTTAGAAACCAGGTAGCAGGTTCCTGTTCAGCCATCTTGGACTCCTGAGGAGTTTTGGCACCAGCTGCAGTACCTTCAGTCGGATGTAGAGGGCAGAGTTCCCTGCAGCGCTGCTGATCTGTTCTGGCGTCAGGGACTCCACATTCAGAGGCAGCAGTTTCTTGGTGATGTTGGTGATTAAACACTCAAACGGCGCTCCAGCGGCCAGCTGGGGGAAGGCGGACCTCAGCAGCTTCAGGAAGTCGGCCTCCTGCATCCCACGGGGACACCGGAGCCTTTTAGACTTGTACTTCTTCAGCACTGAAACGGAGCAATCAGGAACCTCACTCAAGTTGTTTCTAAAATAGAAACCCTCAAAGATCTACTCTGGGTTTAGTCTGTAGCGTCTGATGACCAGAGGCGAGCGCTAGCCCAAAAGCACTAATCGGAAGCATTATTTCTGCTGAAGCTAATGTGCAGTACCAACATAGTAATTATTGGAAGCTAAGGCTAAAACGCTGTAGCAATGTAGTAATTATGAGAATTACTCAGTAAAAGTTTACCGGTCTTTGACAGAGCCACAATTCGGGAGTCCTCTATAACCCGGGCCTTGAGAACAATGTCTTCATTACGACCACGCTGGTTTTCAAACGGCTTTCTCTGGCGAGTCTCGTTTCTGCTGCGGAGAAACAGAAAAGACAAAAAGATTAAGATGGAATGAAGATTTAAATGACTCAACGTTTACAGTGTTTGTGTTTTCTCACGTGGCGTCGGGTGCAGCCTGATGCTCCATGGGCGGAGCAACTTCATAGGCAAAGGAATCATCACTGGTTTGCATAAGCTGCTGATGACTTCCTGCTTCCTGCTCTACTGGACACTAAGATAGAAAAAACTTTTTAACCTTTAATTAATATCTGTATTTTCACTAAAGCTATGTCTCAACAAAGTAGTCCATGGAAGCTAACGCTAAAGGGCTAACCGACATAGTACTTAGTGGAAGCTAACGCTAAAGGGCTAACCGACATAGTACTTAGTGGAAGCTAACGCTAAAGGGCTAACCGACATAGTACTTAGTGGAAGCTAACGCTAAAGGGCTAACCGACATAGTACTTAGTGGAAGCTAATGCTAGGGGGATATTCCAACATTATAAATCAAATTTTCACCATCACTGATCAACCTGTTTGTCAATGAAAGTTGAGTTTTCTGCTTCATGGTCGGGTGCAGTACCTTCAGGCGGATGTAGAGGGCGGAGTTCCCCGCTGCGCTGCAGATCTGCTCCGGTGTGAAGGACTGCACCTCCAGAGGCTGCAGCCTGTTGGTCGGGTCGGTGATGAAGGACTCAAAGGGAGTGCTGGGGGCCAGCAGAGGGAAGCTGGACCTCAGCAGCTTCAAGAAGTCGGCTTCCTGCTGGCCTGAGCGACACTGCAGCTCGTGAACCGGGTACTGATCATCCACTGGAGTGGGGAGACGGCGGCCATGTTCCGATCAGACAAGAGCAATCAGCCCAGAAACAGAACCTGAGGAAGAAGAGCATCCCTACCTTGGTCTGAGACCTCCTGGATGGTCCAGTCGGTCAGGATGCAGATCTTAAGATCCACGTAGTTTTCCAGGTGTCTGATGTGGGAGGCAGCCATATTGACTCCATCAGTCAACCTGAGCAAAGGACGCACAGTTAATCCAAACCAGGACAGTCCGACTCATGTGGACTGGAGCCGACTGACACCATCTGATGGTTCTGAGCAGCTCGTTGCTGGAGATCCGTCTGTTTAGACCCAAATGACCTGCGAAGTTAACCTGAGGAAGACATCAGAGGAAGACTGAACTTCTCACCTGGAGGCGTCGTCATGATGTCGGCCGTCCGTTGGGTCCCCGGTGCAGGAGACGATCTTCAGGGTCTCAGGATTCTCAAACTCTGGACACAAATCAGCAACAACAGAAAAATTATTGGAATGGATGGAAAAATTATAATAATATATTTACAGAAATAAATAATATGATGAGCAATAGCAATAATTTAATAGAACGTGGTGTTCCACAGGGTTCTGTTTTTATAGTTCTTGTTGATCATTAAATAATTATCATTACAAAATAAGTATGTTAATAAAGAAAAAAGTTACTAAATTAATAAAATTAAAAATAAATCAAAAAACAAATAAAAGTAAAATTTAAACAAGGAACGTAAGGGAAAAAAACAAAAAATAGAAATAAATAAAATAAACATGAGTTTAAAAAATTTTTTAAAATGTTTTTCAGGTTTACTTGAAAGGATTAAACTAAAAAGAAAAGTTTTAACCACAAAAACAAAATATGAATAAATTAAATACAAATGAAATTAAAATTAGTTTAAAAAGATGTTTAAAATATTTTCCAGGTTGTCTTTAAATTATTAAAATAAAAATGTTTTTATTAGAAAAAATACAAACAAAACTTGTTTTCAGACTTCATTAAATGAAAATACATATTTTGTTAACGAATCATTTCTACAAACTGCAGCTTAAATAACTACATTGTAACTTAAATAACTTTATAAATAATACAGATATTTATTCCTTGAATAATTGCATACCTTTCCAGAACAGAATTTAATAAAAATAACAAGTTGTGTATTTTTGCAACCATTTTTTGTCATTATGGTGGAAAATATTAAATATTTTTGACATGTTGTTTTGCAAAAACCAGCAGCCTAGAGCCAAAAGTTTTATTCAAGTTAAATCTTCATCTTTATTTTTGGCTCTTTAAAAATAAAAAGCTATTTATGTTGTATTATTACCCTAAACGTGTAATAAGTTTTAAAAAGCAAATTTATTACAAGTTTGCTTTTTAAAATGTTTGTGCTCTAATTTCATTCAACTGAACTAAAGGCAAAAATTTCTCATTAAATAGTAAAGTTAAAGCAAAACACTTCAATTAATTACAATATTTGTGTATTAAATTATATTTTAAATTGTTTACATATCAATGCAGTTTATAAGTTTGTTTATAATCTGTCGTTGATGATGTCATACTCATTTCACACGCCTGTCCCGCGTCGTCCCGCCATCTGTCTCCTCCATCGGCGCCACACAGAGAGAACAGCATCTGCTCGTCTGGATCAATCACAAATAATCAATATTATCATCATTACTACTGAACACAGAACCAGCTCTATACATAAAGTTTCATCAATAAATAGAAGATAATCCATTGTAATCAGAACATATGTGCATACATTTATGTACATATATGTGTGTTAACGTTAACTGGTTCACGGTGATTATTATCAATAGATAAATGAAAAATGGTCGACAAACAATAATAATATCATTTATGGCAGTAATTCCTAAATGTAAATGTTAACATTTACATTTAGTTCTAGTAGAAAACAAAAAGCTTGTTGATAATATAAAGTTTAGTTAGCATAATTATAGAGACAGGTAATCTTTAGACATACAAAATATTAGATGTAGCATTAATTTTTAGGAGTAGACTTTACGGCTGGTAAACTTAAATACAAATCCAAACTAAGACAACTGGTGACTCTCTGAACTTACATAAATTTCTATGGAGAAGGCAGTCTGGTACTCCCGTTAGGAGGGTTTTCAGACAGGGAGTGTAGTTATCAGGATCAATAAATTCTTGGTGTTGGTTCAAAAGTTCAGTGAAACATTAAATGTATAAGAAAAGTCTTCTCCAAAGTATAATCAAATGTATGAAGATATTTCCTTAAGCATTAAACAGCATGTTTTGAATTAGTTAGTTTTAAACCATATTACTTGCATGCAATTTATATTACTAAGATACAATAGGATTATTAAACCATTAGTTTTACTCTTAAAATTATTTCAGGTATTTTGAAAGAGTTTTTCCAAAATAGAAAATCCTGCAGTTTTAAATTCAAACGCATAGTTACTATTTGTAGCATTAGATTTTGTTTCAGTACACAAAACACTATCTGCTTGAAGCACTGAGGCAGAAACCAAGCAGGCCCAGTGGAGGTCATCAATTCTGGAGTGTCTGCAGGAGACGCCTGGTACGGCAAAGACCCAGTTTGACAATCCATACATCTGCCTTTAGGGGCTCTTTAGCAGGAGGTAATAAAATTAACATTGGAACAGCCCTGCAAGAAGAGGGCACACCTTCTAATGCATATATTTAAATGAGGGGAATACGCATTCTTATAAAATGGTTTGTTTTACAGCAGAAGTTCGAATCTCTTTGTGCTGAGTGAGAGATTTACAAAAAATGCATTTTTTGTTTGTTTCCGTTTCCTTTTTTACTCAGGTAATTGTTTGTGTTTTGTCATGTCTTGGACTTTTGATGATCTAGGTGAGATGCTTATTGTAACATTCTTCTTGCATTGATTTTCTCTGGATAAAACTCTCGATATCTGAAGTCTGACGTCGTATGATTGCACTTTCTCCTGCGCATATAAAGGCACAAGAATTCGGGATCAGAGGAATGAATTAACGAGCTAAATTAAGTTATTCCTCTTTTTAATTCTTAAAAAGCTTCATAGCAGAGATTTATTGAAATGTCCTGGAAATATAAGCAGCTGAACACAGAGGCACTGGGCCAGGAGTACTTTCTATGCTGAAACTAAACATAGAGAACGTCAGGATTATGTTAGTTGTAGTTAAAATAAAGATGTAGCACAAAAACACCAAAACCAGCAGAACCTTTTCTGAGAAAACAAGAAGACAGTTCCAGCTCCAGGCTGTGACCGACCTGCGGGCTCCTCCTTCACCCGGGGCTGGCGCAGCTCCAGGAGGCTCTTCAGCCGCTCTATCTCCTGCCTCAAGCCCGAAACCTCCGCTTCGTACAGGTCACAGGTCATCTCCACGTCTGCCAGGATCTCCGAGGCGGCGGCGCTCAGCCTGGAGGAGATGACGGCCGTCAGGCGGCTTTTGGACGCGGTGTGATCCATGAAGCCGCTGAGTTAGCTACAGCGGAACACACTGGCGCGGACACCGCGCCGGAAGTTACCCGAGCTGAAGCGGAGAGGGAATCCGTGAACCCGGAAGTGAACGAGTTGGCCCACACAGCAGAGGCTGTTTCCGCGGAGACCGATCTGAGGGAGTAAACATGAACAGAGGCGAGCTGAGAGGCATCGTGTCGGAGCGGCTGGGCGCGGTGACCGGGGCGGTGCTGGCCGCGGTGGATCGGGCCGTGGCCGGATACGAGCGGGAGGCGTCGGGCTTCCGGCGGGAGATCGACCGGCAGCAGAGGCAGCTGGAGCTGCTGCAGCTGGAGCTGCTGCAGCCGCAGGTCCGGCTGCGCAGAGCAGGTCAGTGGCGGCCAGGAGGCAGGAGGCGAAATCACATGAGTTTTAGTTTAACGGCACTGATTTATACCCAACCAGGTGCGTCCTTAAGATTTGGAAACATGGGGCCCTGAGCCCGGGGGGGAAAGGTTTCTGTTTTATATCTTTATAGTGGGTGTGACTATAACTGAACAATAAGCAATAAATCTATTAAAATAAACCATTTCAATTATATAAACAGCAAATTTGATTAATCAATAAAACCGATTACTTATTCCTTTCAGCCTCAGTTTAACGTTCTGAATAGCTTTGACATTAACATGTCGTGTTCTGAGTTAGTTGAAACCCTGACTGAATTTCTGCTTTCAGTTCAAACTGGAAACATTTTGGAGGAAAAAGTCTTGTGAGATTTACACTCGTTGAGAAGAATAGCTGGTGTTCTGTAGCATCGATCTGTTTGCTGTTTAATTTTCACGTTTTGCTTCCATAAATTATTTTATCCGTTTTTAGTGTCATTGCATCAGATGTTGATCAGTTTTTGTTTGGTTCTGTCTGGAAAGCCAACGAGCCGATCCCAGATCTGCAGAGCCAGGAGGAGGAAGGCGGTGAGGAAGAGGAGCAGCAGCCCAGCGGTAGGACTCAGCTGGAACCAGAACCAGAACCAGGCTGCAGTTACTGGGTCATGTCAGAGATCAGAACTCTGCTGCTGTTGTGTTCAGGTGACAGTCGACATGATGAAGGGGCGGAGCCAACGACGACCTTCAGGCCAAACCAAGAAGACCTGAAGGACAGGCATCATGGGAAACCACCAAGGTAACTGGTTTTAACTGGTTCTAATGGGCTGACCATAATACTTTATCATCAACCAGAACCGTCTCAGAAAAGGTTCTGCTGGGTTTGATGTTTTTGTGCTACATCTTTATTTTAACTACAACTAACATAATCCTGACGTTTCAGCATAGAAAGTACTCCTGGCTCAGTGCCTCTGTGTTCAGCTGCTTATATTTCCAGGACATTTCAATAAATCTCTGCTATGAAGCTTTTTGTTTTCTACTAGAACGTCCTGCATGTTGGCATTTACATTTAGTTTCCCAGGAATTACTGCCATAAATATTATTATTGTCGACCATATATCATTTATCTGTTGATAATAATAATGCAGGTTCAGCTTCTACAAGACAAGAAACTAGAGGAATCCTGAACACGCTGGAGCTGGAAGATATTTGAAATATAAACCACAAACAACCAGAACAGACATAAAATTAATTCTGATGTCTGTAAATAAAGTTCACATCAGTTATTGAGCTCATCTTAGTGACTAAAGTTCTTCTGTGTTCAGATAAACTCATTTCCTGAAAACATTTTTATTCCAGGAAGCGACTCAACTTGTCTAAACTCTACGATCTGAGAGAGACGATCGCGGAGCTGCTGCAGCGGGCGACCAGAGACGTGCTGGCGGCGGTGGAGTGGACCGGAACCGGGAGCGAGGAGGCGGCGGCGCCGGGCGTCAGGCGGGAGAACCGCGGCCAGCAGCCAGGTCAGTGGACTGGAGGGAAACCAGTCACAGCTGCTGGGTTTACTGGTTCTGATTATCACTGAGCCGCTCCCACAGTCAGATAGTAACTAGTTACTTTTACTCAGTTACTTTTAGGAGTATTTTACTTTATCCTTCTGAAGTAAAATCTGTTTATTTGACCTGCTGCAGAAACACCAAATCTTACCAAGTATTTTATCTCAATTTTACTGCAAATATCTTTAAATATGACAAAGTTACTTAAATTTTACTTTTCAGCAAGAAGTAAGAACTTCTAAATGAATTATTCTGTAATATTAAGAAAATGTTGCAGTTAACTGATAATATGGGAAAAACATTTTGAAATAATTTTCCAGTGGAAGATTTTTATTAAGCAATTACTGACATAAATAAAAATGTCCAATCATTTTATATTTTGCTCCATCTGATGATGTCATCTTCAGTCGACTTTTCATCAAAACCTTTTCACTTTGACTTGAGTAAACAGTTTTCCTCTGATTGAGTTTTGTGTCTCCCGCTGCGGCCAGACGCGGCGACACAGGAAGTGGAGGTCGTCGTGGAGGAAGAGGAGCAGCAGCTCACAGGTCGGACTCACCGGGAGACTGGTTCCCACAGAACCAGAACCTCCTGCCAATCAGACGAACTGCTGGGTTCAGGCGCTGGCGGAGTGGAGCGTCTGCCGCTGAGCGATGAAGACGGTGCTGGTGATGAAGAGCCAGTAGACGCCTCCAGGCTGAAGCAAGAAGACGTGACGGACCCGGACTACGAGATCCCATCAAGGTACAGAACCAGAACCGGGCTGGTCCAACAAAACAACAAATACTGAGTCTGTAATGACTCAGTATTTGACTCAGAAAAGACTCGTCTTGACAGATGATGTCATCACGTTTCCTCCGTCTGATTGGTTGTTTCTGCTGTTTGTGGAAGGAAATAAATATTTCCACAGATTATCTGCACATATTAAAGTGTCCAAAAGTTTAACCCGCCTCTAGCTTTGACCTCTGAACCCCCAGCCAATCAGAGCTCACCTGCTGTCGTCCCGCTGCAGGTCGGCTCAGGTCAGAGGTCATCCTGGAGGCCGGCGGCCCGGCAGACCTCGGCTCAGCAGACCAGCTGACCATCTGACGCTCCGGGTCCGGATCCTGGAGGATTCCCGGACCAGAGTCCGTCCAAGGCTGAGAGCCCAGAACCCGCTCCCCCAGTGCATGCTGGGAGCTCTGCCGCTTTCTCCCAGTGCATGCTGGGAGCTCTCTCCCAGTGCATGCGGGAGCTCTGCCGCTGTCTCCCAGTGCATGCTGGGAGCTCTGCCGCTGTCTCCCAGTGCATGCTGGGAGCTCTGCTCACTAACGCTGTGCTGCTGTCAGTGTTTCAGCGCAGCGCGGTTCTGGACCTGCAGTGCCCCCGCGGGCTGTCGGAGCCGGGCTTCCTGGACCTGCTGCGCTCACGCTGCCCCCTGCTGGCGGGGGCGGCCCTTCGACGTCTTCATCGCCGCCAAGAACCGGCGGCTGCAGCCGCTGGCGGCGCAGAGCTGACGCCGGAGCAGATCTGCTGCAGCCACCGCTCAGGCGGGAACCCGACGCTCTACATCCGGCTGAAGGTCCGACCAGAACCGACCCGGTCCAGACAGCGCCCACTGGCTCCTCCCTTTAATACGACTTTATTCTCATTACTTATAACTTCAATATTGTAACTTTGGGACTTTATTCAGGCAATATCACAATTTTATTCTCATAACTGTTTTCTCATTCTGGCCTTAATACTCCGTCACAGTTTTCACTCCTTCAGCTCCATGATTTAGTTTCTCTTACAAAACAAACTGAAGACTAAATTTACAATCAACAGGATAAAAATTGGCTGATTTTCATCCTTTTTAAACAGATTTTACTCTGATAAGTAAATCTGTGCCGATACGTGAGGGAGGAAACTAAAGTGCTTAATTTAAAATAAATAAAAGTTCAGTTTGATTCAGGGAAACGTGAAGCTTCATTCAGTTTGTGAACCTTTTCTTTCAGGAAAGCGAGGAGCCATGTTCAGCCGCGGCGATGAAGACGGATCAAACCGACCTTCATTCCCGGTAAAAACCGATTCCAGGTTCATTCAGAGGAAACATCCTCAGTTTGCTCTTCAGTGCTTTGATTCGTCTAGTCGGAACAAAACTACACTGTGAACTAAAGCAGGGCGTCAGGCGGGAGATGTAATGATGTAAAAGTCTTCTGACTTTTACATCATTAATGTGAGACGAGTTATAATTCTGCACCAGAAGCCAAAGCCGTGGCAGCAAACTGTGTCCGCTCCCAGATCTGACACCAGAACTGACACCAGAACTGACACCAGAACCGACACTTTCCATCAAATATTCCAGGTTTTACTCTCATTAATACCAAAAACATCATTTCAATAGTAATTATTCACTAACAGGCAGCATAACTGAAATCCTGGCCTGTAGCTTTCGGGTGGCTTCTGGCTTCAGCTGCCATGAACTGAGTTCAGCTCTGCTGCAGACGTCTCACCCAGGCCTGATGCTGCAGACGTCTCACCCAGGCCTGATGCTGCAGACGTCTACCCAGGCCTGATGCTGCAGACGTCTCACCCAGGCCTGATGCTGCAGACGTCTCACCCAGGCCTGATGCTGCAGACGTCTCACCCAGGCCTGATGCTGCAGACGTCTCACCCAGGCCTGATGCTGCAGACGTCTCACCCAGGCCTGATGCTGCAGACGTCTCACCCAGGCCTGATGCTGCAGACGTCTCACCCAGGCCTGATGCTGCAGACGTCTGACCCAGGCTTGATGCTGCAGACGTCTCAACCAGGCCTGATGCTGCAGACGTCTCACCCAGGCCTGATGCTGCAGACGTCTCAACCAGGCCTGATGCTGCAGACGTCTCACCCAGGCCTGATGCTGCAGACATCTCACCCAGGCCTGATGGCGTCCTGAAGACTCATCCATTCATCTGTTGGAGCAGAGATGTGTGTAGCTCTGCATTTCAAATGTGTTTTGTTGTTGCCTCTGCAGCCATGTGGACAGCAGCGAGGAAGCCGACCCAGGCCTTGATGCTGCAGATGACACCTGGAGCCCTGACCCCAAACCGCTGACCGCCAAGAGGTCGAGGAAACGGAAGGAGAAAAGGGCGCCGCAGCTGACCTTGGAGACCAAGAGGTCCTGTAAGGTGTGTGGCGCCTGGTACCGGCAGCTGGGCAGTTTGATCAGCCACGTCTGGAACCACGCAGGCGACCCGCAGGGCGTCTGCGGCGCCTGCGGAGAGAAGTTTGAGTCTCCAGACCAGCTGAAGGAGCATCTACGAAACCACCAGCAGGTCCACAGCTGCCAGCACTGCGGGAAGACGTTCGTCTCGGTCCAGAGCCTGAACCTCCACGAGGCCAAGCACACCGGAGAGAGTCGCTTCAAATGCGGCGTCTGCAGCAAAACCTTCACCAACACGGCCTCCCTGAACTACCACCAGTGGCTGCATGTGGAGGACAAGCCTCACAAGTGTGACGTCTGCCTCAAGACCTTCGGCTTGGAGTCGCACCTCCTGTCCCACAAAAAGCTGCACACGGTCAAGGAGAAGCACGTCTGCGACGTCTGCAACAGGTCGTTCCGCCTTCGCCGCGCCATGACCCAGCACCGCCTGACCCACTCCGACGACAAGCAGTACGCCTGCGACGTCTGCGGGAAGCGCTTCAAGCTGGAGGGCTCGCTGAAGGTCCACGCCAAGACGCACACGGAGAGGGACCGGACGTTCCTGTGCCACGTCTGCTGCCGGACGTTCCTGTGGAAGGGAACGCTGATGGCTCACCTGAAGACCCACAGCAGCGTCCGGCCGTTCGTCTGCGCCGTCTGCACCAAGGGCTTCTGGTTCAAGTGCGACCTGAAGAAGCACATGAGGATCCACTCCGACGAGGCGCCGTACGAATGCTCGGAGTGCGGCCGGCGCTTCAAGCAGAAGGCCAACCTGGACAGCCACGTCAAGATCCACCTGGGCATCAAGAGGTTCGTGTGCGCCGAGTGTGGGAAGGAGTGCTCCCGCCGGGAACACCTGAAGGTCCACATGAGGACCCACAACGGAGACAAACCCTACAAGTGCAGCGTCTGCGACAGGGCCTTCACCCAGAGCCACTGTCTGAAAACACACATGAAGAGTCACCCAGCGGACCTGGACCTGGATCCCACCCGGAACCAAGAGATGGACGAAAACCCGGCTCTGGACCCGACTCAGAGCCACGAGATGGACCCGGTTCTGGACCCATCAGAAACCTGAACTCAGAGACAGAATGGTACCTTAAACCCAGGACTTTATACCAACCAGGCTTTTACTGCTGATAATTAACTTGTAATGACAAATGAAATAGAAATAAACAGTTCATCTCTGCAGTGCTTTCCCACTTCCTTCAGCTGCAGTTAGTTATGGAGTCCCTCAGGGCGCAGAACTCAGACCTGCCGCAATTATTTGACCATATCGGGTAAATTTCCATTTTCATCTCAACAAACGTTGGGTTTATTTATACATAGTTTAAATTCATCACTTGATATCGACAACTTTTAAATTCCAGCCGCAAAACAGCAAATAAAACATTTTTTTGTCTTGTAGAAAATCCGTTTTTTCTGTTGTTTTAGAGTTAAAACCTCCTTCAGAGGAATCCTGGTCATGTTTTAAATGGCCTGTTAGCTACAGCGCTAGCTCAGCCCAAGCAGAACAATCTGATTAACATTCAGCCATTCATCCGTATGGAGAATAAGAGATGACAAAATTTAAAAAAATATACCATGAAATACATGCAAATTTCAAACTAATTAATTAAAATCATTACATAATTTAATTTACCACTATCATTAAGTACACCAGTATGTTAAATGTTTAAATATCCAAGTAAATAATTAAATGTCTAATAAAATATTTACCTTTTTCTAAATATTTTAAAGACAATTTGATGTGAAATATATTTATTTCACTGTGCATCTATTTTATGGCTCCAGTGTGTTTTTATAACCCCAGACAACGTTTTTAATTAGATGTTTGTGGTAAATTCAATCATGTTTTTAATCGTTTTAAGATTCATTTCATGTCAGCTCTGGCCCCCCGTAGGTTTTAACCAGTTCATTTAAATAGAAAGCAATGCAGAAATGAGCTGGGGGACTGAGGATGAGGAGGACCACACCTGAGGGATGAAGGCAGAGTCGTTGTCCAATCACAACCCCACAAACGCAAACAGCCAATAAATCATCCAATCTGAACAGGCTTCATTGGGACACAGAAACAACAATTCGTCTTTTTTCTCATTTATTTAAAGGTATCAATGCTCCCAAGAAAACAGTGAAAATATAGAAAACTATTTTTAAAATGCAGTTTTAGACGTTTTATCGACACGTCAAATCCAATTTCTTATCACCAGAACTTTTCACTGTATGAAAAACAAAACGATAAACGCTCGTCCAGCAAACATTCTCTCCAGCAGTGAACATCCCGGCCGTTTCTCTTTTCATGTCACAGATCTTCTCCGGTCAGGTTTCCAGGTTTTCCCGCAGACGGCGCAGGATGATGGTTTAAACCATGCTGTGTCTCTCTTGACCTCCAGACATCAGTGAACTTCCCTGCGGTTCCTCCGGCGTGTTCTCATACCACGGGTCCAGGTGGAGGTTCTGTTCTACGGGGATCTCCCCGGTGTGGATCCTCATGTGGTCCTCCAGGGCCTCCAGTCCGTGACTCACCTGGCCACAGATGGTGCAGACACACTGCTGGAAGGCTGAATGCGTCTTGATGTGGTTGACCAGGTAGGCCAGCCGTTTGAAGCAGCGCCCGCACCGTGAGCACTTGTACGGCGTCTTGGCGTGGACGATCATGTGGACCTTCAGCGTGTCTTCGGACAGGAAGCTCATGTTGCACAGGCTGCAGAGGAAGGAGCCGACTGTGCCGTGAGTCTTCTTGTGGTTCGTCAGGTTCTGGTAGGTTTGGAAAGTCTTGTGGCAGACTTGGCAGGTGAACGGGCAGTCGCTCGTTGCGTGGGTTTTCTCATGCGTCTTCAGGGAGGATTCCAGCGCGAAGGTCTTCCCACAGAGGCTGCAGGAGAAGCCCAGGCTTCCCGTCGAGGCGTTGCCGTAGACGCCGCCAGGGCGCTTTCTCTGGGTTACGAGATCCGACTTCAGATCAAACGATTTTGGACAAAGATGGCACCCGGCGGGTCGTTTTTCCAAGTGGACCCGGCTGTGCCCGTTCAAGGCCGGCACGGTGGAGAAGGTCTTGCTGCAAACGTTGCATTTGATCGGAGTCTCCGCCGCCAGATTAATGGGAGCGTCTGTGGCATGCTTGGCGATGTGGCGGTTGAGGGTGACGCTGGAGAGCAGGTACTTCCCACAGATCCAGCAGCTGTAGCCCTTTTTGTGACTTGGGAGGTGTTGCTTTAACGCTTCCACAGACTCAAACTTCTCTCCGCAGACGCCGCAGACGCCATGAGGCTCGTTGACGTGATTCCAGATGTGGCTGATCAGACTCCCCAGCTGCCTGTACCAACCACACTCCCACACTCTGCACGTCAGCTTGTCGGTTTTCCTCTGTGTCTTTGGCTCAACGTCCTGATTACTGTCGACAGATTCATCTAAAGACTCGTCCGTGTCGCTGCTGGAGTCGCTGGAGTCATCGTCCGATTCCAGGTCGTCGAGTTCAGACGTAGAGCTGACGGACAGGCCGTCTCCTCCGGGATCCGACTCGCCTTCAGGAGAGCTGCAGACAAGGGAAACATTTAAATTATCTTGTAGATGCTGCAGTTGTTGGGAAGCTCTGATAATCCACCTCATTTACTTTTGCCACTCTTCTCTAGATATCTCTCTGTGGTTCTGATTGAACTCTTCTGGCATTTGGGTCAGAATTCACCATAAACTCTTCCTCCCGTTTCTACGGATGTTTCACACCCGATAGTTTCAGTTCCATTGGGAACCAAAGTAGCAGCATTTGTTCCATCTCTGGCTGCTGTGGTTTTTTCTCTGCTCTGAGTTAAACAACCAAACACTTTGAGCAACTTGTTCCCCTCCTCGCCTGTGGGGGCGCTGCACCGAGCCGAACACAACTTCCTTCACAAAATGTAAACAAAAATGGAGTCAGATTTCTATTTTCTGAGTCATCTCTGTTTGGTTGCGTTTACCCAGAATGCACTGCGATGTAGTCCACTTCCTGCTCTTTTAGTGGTCTCGGGTCCACTTGGCGTTCACATCTCAAACCAGACCTTCTCGCCAAACTGGAGTTTGCTACTGCGCTACGAACGGAGCTAACGCTTAGCTTAGCGCTTCAACTTTTTGTTAACTTTGAAAACTTTTAGCGCACTTAGCTTCCCGTGCATGAATGTTTCTGGATAAATTGTAGAGATTAAATTTACTTTGCTGTTTTGGTTAGCATCTCTAACGTTCTCAGCCGGTAGTTTGATTATAAACGGGTTGTGTCTGAATCCTCCAGGTTACCTGCTTTGCAGTCCAGATTTGTCGTCGTCGGTCGGATCAGGATCCAGAGTGAGCTGAGCCACAGAACCTTCTTCCTGCTTCACCTCCACCTTCACCACTTGGTTCTGAAACAGATCGAATTCAAATGAACAGACGAGAACCCGGACCCAGAACGTTGCTTCGTCTCTAGCACGCACCCAGCACATCTGGGATTCCATGGTGACCTGATGGGCTTCCTGGTTCTGGTCCGCTGAGCTGGCGGACCCGTTGACGGCGCCAACAAAGCTGCAAGCGGAGAACATGTTTGTGTTTCAGCAGCGAAGGGATCTGGAACCATCCGGGCTTTCTGCGGTTCTAATGAATGTTCACCTCGTCTGGAACCCGGTTTCATGGCTCTTCAGAACCACCGGGTCGGGAGCTGCAGACTCGGAGGGGACATGTTGACCAACCTCAATCTTTACCTGCGTTTTCTGAAACAGACAAAGTCAAAAATGACAAACTGGAGGAATGATCGTTTCTCAGAACACAGAACAGATTCCTGAGGCCGAGTATCGGCCGGTACCGACCCGAATTTACTTACAATGTTTCTATTTTTAAAACACAGACGTAGTGCAGAGTTATCACAATAATGTGTAATTTATTACATTTGTGTGTGTGTTTAAGCACAGATACAAATGTTGGGCTGATTCCACTGAAAAAGTGAATCATTCATTTCTAACAGATTCAAAACGATTCATTTCCAAAACTTTCTAAACTTTTAAACTGAATCGTTTTTATGAAAACAAAATAAATCGAGTCAAATCAAAGCAACTGAACTCTTACTAGTTCTTGGCTTAAGATTGTTTACAATCCCTGAAAACATTTTAAATTTGGTCTAAGATCCAGTTTGAGAAGAACCGAGCCGTGTTTACCTTCATGTGGTTCTGAGAGTCGCTGACCTGAGTTTGGCCGGTTCTTTTCCTCCTTCTGGCGGTCTGGACTCTGGAGAAACCGGACCTGCAGGAAGACAGAAGGTCAGCTCTGATTGGCTCGATAAAACGACCTGATTGGCTGCAGGCCGGTCAATAAAACGACCTGATTGGCTTCTATAAGAAGATTAAAGTCATAAAATTACCAGAATAAAACTTTAACACTATCAGAATAAAGTTATTAATTTTGGATTCAACACTGTAAAAGTTAAATTACCCCAACTTGTTGAATTCTGAATATTTCCATCATTATTCGCTATTATTTAAACTATTTGTACGATTTTCCTGCTATCTAATATCCGTGTTGCTCGGATCCGTCACCTCGGTGGTATTTCATAATCTGGGTCCTGCAGGTCTTCTTGGATCAGCTTGGAGATCGCCACTGGATCTTCCTCTTCCTCCTCTTCATCAGAGTGGTTCCCAGTCAGTTTGTGCCTCTCAGCTTCCTCCACATCTGGACACAACAGATGTTGCTTTATTCAACTGAAATGCACATGTTTGTCATTTTTAAGGATTTAACTCATCAGATTAAATGACAACATGTTCTTGTAGTTTTGAATCCAACAAAAGTTCGGAAATTAAAACAAAAAAAGATTTTTCCGTATTGGCCTGATTCCAAACTCTAGTCGATAAATTAATTGGATAATTAATTAGTTTCTAGTTTCTGCTTCTTGAATAAGCAGAAACTCTGTTGGAATTAAAATATTAGCTTTTTATTTTCTTTTGGACTAATGATGCTGATGAGCATCAAACCTGTTTTGTTGTGAACAGTCAAATGAGTGTATGAACATTATAAACACTGGTTAATGCACTGGTTCCCAAAGTGTGGGGCGCGCCCCCTCTGGGGGAGCAGTGCCATTACATGGGGGGGCAAGAAGCAGAATGGATGAATTAAAGTCAAAAAACAGTTACACAAAAGTGTTTCACTGTAAAGATGATTGTAGTTTGTTTTGTTGCAACCTGAAGTGAGAAATAAACTTCCGTTGAGTTTGAAAACAAAATACGTATGTGAAAAGATTTATGTCTGGCTGAACGATGTGCCCAGTTGATTTTCTTTTCTCTTTTTTGGGGGGGATTTTATTGTAATCCATAGGGGGCCCAGAAGAAAATCTTTGGCTTAATGCATCTAACTCTCATACTATGGATACAGTTAGACGTGGTCAAAGTGGGAATTACAGTTAAAATTCTGAGGAAAAACTTAAAAATTCTACAGTCAAATTATAAAATCAAAATTTTATTACTTTCAATTATGACAAAAAGTAAGAATTCTGAGGTTACAGTTAAAATTCAGAGAAAAAAAATCTGAATTCTAAAAAAAAGAAAAATACTGAGAAAAAAAGTCACAAGTCTGAGATTAAAGGCCCCAATTTTCTCTCTGAGATTTACTCAATATTAGCGATACTTTTTACTTAATTATGAAGTGAAAGAACTATGCAGTGAAACAGCTCCAAAAAGTACAATTTCTCCAGAAAAGGTTACTTTTTTAAATGTAACCAGGAAAATGTGATTTGTCTCTACTGACCTCTGATAAGCAATATGAATAATTCAGGTGTATTTGTGATGTCTGCATGTATTTTGGTGATGCAGCTTTTAATTTAAAAAGGACAATCAAAGAAAAAAAACTGTCAAGTCTGAGCGCACGCAGCTGCTGGGATGATGGAGGGGCAATATAGTGAAAAAGTGCAACACTGGAAATAACATGTCTGAACTGGTCGAAACCAGCCCCTTCCTGGTTGCTTTTCTAGGACCTGTGCTCTCAGCTGTTGAGAATCGATTGCTTCCTGGAGGCGTGGCCTTGTTCATACATCTGCCTATGAAGCTTACCGGAAGTTGAATGTGCTGTAAATAACCATCTTCCACTGAAAAAAAGAGCTGAACAATGTGGCTGTTTGTCTTAATTCAGTCTTTGGAGGCCTGACCAACAGGACTCCTCTGCTGCTATTGATGAAGCTAAAGGCTAATTCCAGAATTACGTCATAAATAGGGGCCCACACCTTCTTCCAATTAGACAAAATGGGCGTCAATTAACTCGACTGCTTGTGCTGCTTTGGCTTTGAAGATATAAAACAAAGGTCAAAAGGTCAAGCAGCTTTTATGAAATCAGACAAAATTGGTATCAAACGTGGTGGAGTTAATCGACACCCACTTTGTCTGATTGGAAGAAGGTGTGCGGCTGACGTCACTCAGGTCTGTTCGCTGATTGGATGAAATTCCACCAGACATTCCGAGAAATGAGAGAAAGCCTTTGAAATGAAGTCAATGGGAAGTTTTGCGTGAACAGAAAAAGAGGCGCTGAAAAAGCGAGTCTGAATATTAAATAAAAAGTCTGTTTTTTTTTCCACTCAAAGTCTGAACCGGTAAGGACTGAACGTTCCTCTGCTGGCCGCCACTGACCTGCTCGGTCCAGCCGGACCAGCGGCTGCAGCAGCTCCAGCTGCCGCCGCTGCCGGTCGATCTCCCGTCTGAAGCTCGACGCCTCCTGCTCGTAGTCGGCCACGGTTCGCTCCACCACCGCCAGGATCTCCCGGGCCGCGGTGCTCAGCTTCTCGGTGATGATTCCTCTCAGGAAGTCGCTCTTGGACATGTTGAGTGGATCGGAACCGCCGCGGCTGCAGTGAAACATCCCGTTCGGATCCAAATCCTCCCCACGCTGCTCTTAACTCGCCTCTACTTCCTGTTGTTGTCCCTGGAAACGGAACTCTCCTCCTCCTCCTTCTTCTTCTTCGGAGTTTAATTGGAGCGGATGCCTCTGCCGCCCCCTGCTGGCCGCGTCCCTCACCTACCGTCACATAAATGCTTTATTGTTATAAATTAATTACATAAAAAACAGAACAAGACAGAACTTAATGTCACAAATAATTCTTATTATTCAACAAGTTTATTTTACTGGATTAATAAGACATTTCAGATCCTAGAGAGTAAATATTATAAGCAGTGAAAGTTGATATTATTATCCATATGTTGAATTATGAAAGTCAACTTTGGCTGGTTTCTGATAGCAGCTAATAGCTTGTCAAGCAGCAGGTTGGCTAGGATCCAGCTAAACAGCTGATATGGGATCAGTGATTGTCATCCCAGTGAATAAATGATCCGTTTTCAGCTGTTACAGTCAGAACTGTAAGGCAGCGAAAATGGGATTATCAATCCAGATTATCTGCACTCAATTAAACACCAGTGATTCTGTTCTTTCTAATATTGAATGATTTATCTTTAACAAGAACAAATTGAACCTGTGAAATATCTGCAGTTCAGAACCAGAACTGACACCAGTCCACTATCTGGACTAAACCTGGTTCTGTGAGCGTCCAGCTGGAAGAATCGCTCACAGTCGACGGATCGACAAAAAGAGGCTCAAATAACTTGTGACTGTAATATGAGAAGGTTTATTTAATTACACTCTTATCAGATTTTACAACATGCAGAAACTCATGGTCTGATGTGAAGCTGTTGAATTTAAAGACAACTGTTTGTGATTTTACTCTGCTGTAAAAAATCCTTTCGATTTGAGAAATATATTTTCATTCCTGTGGATAAATGAGAAATGTCCAGCTTTTCACACCGATGTGTTTTAAAATCAGTCAGGGTCTGTAAGGCAGCTGATTTGGGATTAGCAGTCTGGATTTTGGAACCAGAGCTTGGATTAAGACCAGGCTTTTTATTTTCTTCTGATTTTGCATCATTAACAAGAACAAATGAAACCTTTGAAACATCTGCTTTCTGTTCCCCGGAGTGCTGAGTCAGAACCAGAACAAGTCCATGATCAGAGAAATGGTCCTCAGTGACTCTGACCAGAGCTGCTTTGGTTCTGAGATGAAACGGGAGCATTTAGAGAATCTCTGAACCTGTGATTCTCTAACAGGTTTGGAGAATCAAACACTGAACTTGTGAAAGGATCTTCTGTTGTTCTTGTTTCCAGCAGTGAGTCGACTTTTCCTCCTGTTTGGTCTCAGTTATTGACTGAGACACAATCTTTTGTCTTGTGCTGTTTTGGTCCTTTAATGACTAACATAAATAATAAAAACGGATGTATTTTGGAGTATCCACCTACTGACGGGTTCAGTCTCTGTGATTGGAGACTTCTGACAGGAAGTCCCCAGCTCAGGGCAGCTCCAACATGTTGTACTTGGCCAGCAGGCGTTGAGTCCGTGTGTGCACCACCGACAGCGCGTGGATGATGATGCGCAGCACGGGTGTTGCCTCTTCCTGCTTCTGCACACACACCAGCTGCAGGAAGTACTCTCTGTCAGGAAGTGCGAGGAAAACTATCTCTGCTGCCTGGCGGAGCATCCAGGGATGGTGGGGGGCCAGCGCCACCTTGTAGGCGTCTCTGGGCAAAGGAAACGAGTGAATGTGAGTCAAACACATAGTTCCTACAAGCCTGAACTGGAAGTGATCTGCGCCATCTTAGTAGGTAAGCGCATACCCAATGTATAGCGAACCCATGACTTCGACACCAACAGAAAGAAAATATGTGGAAACTTTTAACCAAGAGAAAGAAACATGAACAAAATGGCTGCTGTTGGATTGACCCACATGAGACAGAGAATGGAAAACATGTCAGGCGATGTGGAGAAGCCGCCTCTGAACTCATAATAAGATATAATGAACTACTTGGTGAACAGGAAGAGTTGAACCCCATGGAGGAGCTTCACCTGAAAATCTATGGCTGCAAACAGTCAGTTTAAAAACCTCTGTGGAGGAAGTGGGAACTTTTATCAAGATGACTGGCAGAGAGACCACATGCAGCAACCAGCAGGAGGCTACATGTCCACCTGAGCTAGCAGATAAAAGCTACGTTAGCTAAGCTAGTTTTGGTACTACAGTGAGTGTTAGCATTACACAGAGGTGTCAGAGTATTCATGCATCATGATTGGCTAAAAGTTATAAAGTATAGTGTTTATAAGTTAGATGGGAAAGAGAGCTAGTTCTCAGCTTGTTGCTAGTTTAAAAAAATAAACCGTGTGACTGTCAACAGTTTACTGAAGTGTGACGTCACATGAGAGCCATGTAAATGATTCATGTTTGGAAGCTGCTACCTGCTGAGCTCTCCGGGCGTTTTGAATCGGCCCTCAGCGTCTGGACCCCCAGACAAACCCTCCAGCATCAGCTTCAGCCACAGCAGCGAGCGATGCAGCCGCAGCAGCGTCCGGCAGCCGGAATCTGTTCGGCGGGAGAAGCTGACCATTCCCGCCTGAAGCTCCGCCCATCATGGATCGAACAGATCGATACACCTGGGCAGGAAATGACCTCAGTAAAGGCGTCTGGGTTCGGGTTTGGGTTCGGGTTAGGGTCAGTTCTGTCATGGTGGACGCAGGAGGACTCACCCCGGTTCTTAGTCCCAATGCTGCTGGGGTTTGTAGTCCAGAGGAACCGGCTGGTTTCAGGGAGAGCTGCCGGATCAGATCCGTCTTTTCTCTCACTTTCTGAGAAAAGAAACTGACCATCGTTCCCAGAGACTCCATGAAGCTGAAGCGAAAAAAATCAGGTTTTTGTTTAGGTTTATGTTCATGCTAATGGTGTGCACTGCTAGCTAAAATGCTAGCTGTGCTAATCACATAGCTAATGCTACAGAGATGGAATGACATGGTACTTAGCAGAAGCTAATGCTAAATGTGTTAATAACACAACATGCGTTCCAACACGTGGCCCAGCAGGGGGGATGTTACACACCCAGCTGTCTTTCATTCATGGTTTCAGTTTCATAGTTTCAGGTTTTGCAAGTTTAAAAGAATCAACAAAAATCTGCATCTTTAAGTCTGAGAAAGTACCAGATGGGTTCCAGAAAGTACACAGACAGATTCTTTTTCCTATAATTTAAATTTGTCTGTGGTTTTGGTCTTCAGACCTTTAAACCAGTAAAGCTCGTTTACTTGAGCAGCTGGTCCCAGCTGAGCAGGTAGGGCTCCAGCAGGACGTCCTCGCCGTCCTCAGCCAGGCTGGACCTGAGGAACCGCAGCAGCTTCCGGGCCTGGAACGCCTGGCCAGGACATTCCCTGACAAGGGGCGGGGCGTCGTCTGACTCCGCCCTCTCATCCAGGATGGGCGGGGCTAGAGGCTACAGAACAGTTCATAACAGTCACTCTGAAACGTTTATCATGATGTTTACATTTGTTGTTGCTGTCGTTCATTTGATTCACCGTCACCATGTGAACATATGTCAGCCGTACCGTCTGGATGTGATACGTCAAACATGGCTGCCACACTGAGCCGCAGTCTCTCTGTTCACCCTGAGCTGAACAGGAATAAGCATCACTAATCAGTTCATTAAGCATTACTAATCAATTCATTAAGCATCACTAATCAGTTCATTAATCAATTTATTAATCAATTCATTAAGCATTACTAATCAATTCATTAAGCATCACTAATCAATTCATTAAATTTGTTTATAACTTGGAGGTTATAAACAGTTTTTGCATCTTAATCTTTGTTCTGAAGAAAGAAAACCAGTCAAAAACCAGTTTCTGTGATTCAATTAGAAACACGAGTGAAACTTTGTTGACGTTTCACTAAAGTAATATTTCAAATCCCAGATATATTTTTTTTTAGTTTTCTGCTCTTGGAAGGTGAAAAATGATTAATCATTGTAACACTGGTCTGATTGATGTAAGCTAATTATAAATATGCTAATGTTTAGCCGCTATGCTATACAGGAGCAGCTCAGGAATGATGAATCGTCTGATGTTGACATGTTGCTACCTGGGGCCCCAAACAGAAATCTGCTTGGGGCCCCGAAAAGGCTCGTGCCGGCCCTGCAAGACCTTCTTTCTGCAGCAGATTACGAGCTGTCTCTTTAAACGCCGAGAAGGAGGCGGAGCCAACATGGCGGCGGAAACTTACGGAGCCAGAAGGAGATGAGGAAGAGGAGAAGAGCGAGAGAGAAGACAGTAGCAGGTAGCGAAGCAGCGCCGACCGCCTGAGGAAAACCATCATCCGCTCCACAAACCGCCGCAGTCCGACGGACGCCGCCGCTGCTTCACACACCTCTGGGTGACCTTTGAACTTGATCTTTGTCCCCTTCGCCTACTTTATCTCAAGCAAACACACAGTCATGCTTTGGGACGCAGGAGACTCTCGATCTGGAGCTCAGAGCAGATCAACGACTTGAGATCAGAAACACTGAGAAACAGGAATTTATTATTTTAATTCAATTATTATTTTAATTCCAGGTTATCAGATACAATAAATAAATGCCTTTTTGTTCTGTGCATAACTCTATCCTCCTGTTCGTTCACTGCAACTTTAAAAGTTTTTAACCTCCAGCCCCCCCTGGTGGACAAACGCAATAAAACATTCAGCAGAGCAGCAGGTTTTTACTGCTGATGGAGATGATGATGATGCCTTCATCTCATAAAGGAAAACAGAAAATAAAACAGTCTTAAATGTCTGTTTTCATTCACTAAAGCATTTTGTTTCCAGTGAAGCCTGAAAAGATTTATTTTGTAAATAGCGCCCCCTACCTGTTCAGATGTAGCAAGACAAAGAGACGGAGAAAAAAACTGATGAGAAACAAATTTATTGATGGTTAAAATCTCACATGAAATCATCTCGGAGATGTGAAACCAGATTTTCCATCAACACTCTGATTGATTCGTTCATCACCGTCTTTGGTGCAAAACTCGACGCCTCACTTTTTGTGCAAAAGATATTTTTGTGCTGCTTTGTGTTTCTGTGCTTCTTTATTGAGGTAACATTTCAATGAACCTGCAGGAAACAAGCTGAAGGGTTTCTATCTAACAAGAATCATGGCTTTCAGGTTTTCACTTTTATAAGGTAAAAGTGTAAATATAAGGAGGAAGTTGTGCTTTTAGAGTTAATATATAAAAATAGAGTAAAAACAAAAAGGGTTTGCATAAATTAGGTGCTGTTAAGCTAATTCAGTTCAATGTAATAAAGAGCTTCAGTGTGGAAGAAAAGGGAAATCCAGTGGATTAATAACTACATCACTACCATCACTACATTATTTCCTGAGTCCTCTGGAGGATTTTACCCATCATGCATCTGGAAGGAGGAAACTGGAAGCTTTCCTCAGGATCAAAACCTAAAACAAATCCTCTGAATTTCATCAAGTGTTTAGAAAGTTTTGGCCATAAAAAGCAGATAAGAAGTTGATCCTGTTTAAAATGAAACCCTGTTTTAAACATCTGCATTTGATTCTGTTCCTCCTGTTCTGGTAAAAAAAAAAAAAAAAACTATAATTGTCTTAAATTTGGGTCGTTTAAATTAAAATTGTGCAACTAAGTTACTTAAGGCTGCATGTACCACTGTCTGTCTCTCTGTGGATTTACATTTTTATTTATTTTGTTTCATATTTGGAAGCTAAAGAAGTTAAATTTTTTCCATCAGTTCATTGAACATGGATGAACCTGTTTCCATGTAGCCTGTAGCAAACAAATATTGTTTTGGATGACATTATTAGTGAAAGAAATATAAATATATTCTTGTATCAAACACAGTAAGAAGTAGATCTTTGATGAAATCCTGCTGATAAGGAGATAAATTTGCCCTTTTCTGCATCGTTAGACGCAGACGTGGAGGTAAGGACTGTCAGGTCGGATCCTGGAAGAGGAAACGTGTGACTGATGCTGGAGTCAGGAGAATCCGTCAGCTTTGACCCGCAGGGCGTCACAAAGGCCGGGTCGGTTCTGGAGAACCTGAGAAAACAAGCAGACGCTCAGAAACAGTCACTGAGCGTTCACCTGTAAACCAGTGGCCTCGACGGGCCAGAAACTGCAACTTAATGGACCTGGGCCACAAAAATGTCATTTTTAAAGATTAAAACCTGAATAGAATTTTATCTGCTCAATTATTAATAAAATCCAAGATTTTATTGAAACAGTTTTTGTAGAAAATAGGGTTTCAAAGTTAGCCAAAGTGCTAACCTACAAGCAGCAGCAAACAAAAACATTATCAGAAAACAAAATAACTGTGAAGTTGATTCATTCAACAGTGACGTTCACCTTCAGGGTGCTGAGAATCTCTCCAAACAGATGCTTTGCTTCCTGAGTATCTGGCTCCTCAAAGTAGTCGGACACAGAAACGTCCACCACGATGGACCTGATGTTGCTGCACACACCTGCGCAGGTGGACAGAACATCAGTCCCTGAGTAAAGAGTGTGAGCACAGGAAGCAGCAGAAACCGGATCTCACTGTGGAAGTGGAGGATGGCCTGGCCGCTGACCGGCGTGTGGGTCAGCATCAGGATCTGCAGACTCTGCAGTCCGGCTCTGCAGAGCTCCGTCGCCACCTGGAGGCTCAGGTCGGTGATGCGCTCCAACTCCAGCACCTGCAGGTGAGGGCAGCTGCGCACTGCAAGAAAACAGAAAAACAGTAAAGAGTTTGTTTTGTTCAGAATGTCATGTTCAAATATCTTTCTTCATGTTGACTTTTTATTAGCGTTCATGATGAATTTTGCATTAAACTGTTAATATTTATTAACGAAACATGAAAACGTTTGTTTACCAACAGTAACCAATCCCTGAGTGTTACAGCCAGCTCCGCCCACACTGAGGCAACGGAGGTGTGGCCAACATCGACCAATCGTCTGCAAGCAGCGGTTTCCAAACCGAGTCGGCTGTTGGCTAAAACCAGAAAACAATATGAGGCAAAAGATTTCAGAAAATATCATTCTGTGCATTAAATATAACTTTTTATAGACATTGTTTACATAATTACTCTAAGTAATGTAGCTTTTTAGTTAGCATTGCTAATCTTAAACAGTTCCACTATCGCTAAGCGCTACTATCGCTAAAGTAGTGCACCAACTATGCTAATTAGCATTGTAATGAGTGGAAGCTATGAAGCTAACTAAAACTTCAACACAAATGTTTTAATAAAGTCATGTTAGCTAGCGCTCGACAATCTACCTGAAAAATTCAGCATAGGAGAAGCTAAATGTGCTAAATATTTTCAAAGGTGGTAAAAGTGCTGACATAAAAATTAGCTCGTCTGTTAGCGCACTAGCAGCTGTGCAACAATGGCTAATAAATTACTTTTATTGAAAAAGCTAAGCAAAAATAAACATAAATGTTTTTACATTTAACATTTACTTTCTATTCCATTTGAAGCAGCTATGAACTGACTGACTCACCTGGGATGTGCCGGCGCCACCTGCAGGCTGCTGATGTTCCTGCAGCCAGCACCCAGAGCCCACAGAACCTCCTGACCGACCGGATCTGAGGAGCTCCTGCAGACAGAGGGACACTCAGGTGAACACTCAGGTGAACACTCAGACAGCCAGGTGAGGCGTGGAGGGGCGGAGCCTCCTCAGGCCCACCTGTACGTGAGCGTCTGCAGGTTCCTGCAGTAGCAGCTGGCCATCCACAGCGTCCTGTCGGTGAGGATGTGGGGACACTGGGAGACGGAGAGGTGGAGCAGACTGCCCCCTGCTGACCGCAGCAGCGCCTCCACGCCCGGCTCCACGCTGCCCCTGAGACACACAGGTCAGCACAGCTTCAGACCTTTAATGGTCTGAACGCAGGAAACAGACGGACCAAAACCGTTTCCATGTAACCTGCACAGTCTTCAACTTACTAAGAGATAAGAACATGTTTCAACTTTCTCTGAGTGTTAATCCCTCTGAGCCGCCGCTGTGCATGTGTGTGTGTGTGTCTCTGTGTGTGTGTCTCTGTGTGTGTGTGTCTCTGTGTGTGTGTGTCTCTGTGTGTGTGTGTGTGTGTGTGTGTCTCTGTGTGTGTGTGTGTGTGTGTGTGTGTGTCTCTGTGTGTGTGTGTGTGTGTGTGTGTGTCTCTGTGCGTGTGTGTGTGTGTCTCTGTGTGTGTGTGTGTGTGTCTCTCTGTGTGTGTGTGTGTGTGTGTGTGTGTGTCTCTGTGTGTGTGTGTCTCTGTGTGTGTGTGTGTGTGTGTGTGTGTGTGTGTGTGTGTGTGTGTGTGTGTGTGTGTGTGTGTGTGTCTCTGTGTGTGTGTGTGTGTGATACCGAGTGTTTTTGTGGTAATCCTCTCGCGTCTCGTCAGGCCGGCGGCTTCGTGGCTTCAGGTTGTTGAGGACGACAGACTGGGTTTGAGTACACCACTGAGACAAAGTCTGCAAGAACTAAACACACGACATGAAGGTTTAATCCAGACAACGATGGAAAAACATATTTATAAACACAAAGATGCTTCAGACTCTGAAACTCAGAAATTCAGTCACCGTCTGAATGTCCAACATCATCTGGGAGTGAAAAGAGCCTGAATGCAGTTAGCTAAAGTTAGCTAAAGTCAGCTAAAGTTAGCTAAATAGTTAGCTAAAGTCAGCTAAAGTTAGCTAAATAGTTAGCTAAACAGTTAGCTAACTGCAAACTAGCCAGTTCTTTGCGACACACTGATGTTACTTTGATAAATTATCAGAATCTTCTCTAGTAGCAGGTCTGAATTAGTCATTTGAAAGGTGCAGAGGACAGTGAAGCTGCTGTACCTCGGCCGACACTCGAGCATTCTCCAGTCGGAGGCGAGTCCAGACTGCCGGGTGCCTAGCAACAAACCGCCAATCACAGCACACCTCGGCCGCCAGCAGCAGCGAGCGAACGTCCAGGTACGGGAAGACGCAGAAGAGCCCCGCCCTCATCTTCAGGGTGTCCGCCCCCGGCATCCTGTCGGCATGACAACGGGAGGGGGTGGAGCCGATGGAGGAGGGCGTGTCTGGGTGATGAAGGAAGAGGGAGAAGAGCAGATAAGAGGAGACAACACCTGTAACAGGCAGCAGGAGGAAGAGGAGGGTCGTTACCTGATCCAGGTGTGTACTTCCTGGCCAGAATGAGGCGCCTCAACTCAGCGCTGCTCCACAGGCCTTCCTCCTCCTCCTCCTCCTCTTCCTCAGTGCTGTGGTGACGAATGTTTCTTTCGCTCCAGGTTCTTCCCCATCCTTCCTCACCGACCCTGGAAACACAAACGGAGAAAACCATTCTGAGTCTCTGAAGCCTGCACACCCGATAAAATGCCACTGGACAGTTTTTAGTATCTTCTCTACCAACACTGCAGATAGCAGAAGCTAACGCTAAAGCAATATATTTTCTGCAGGTTTTCTGGAGGTTTTCTGCAAGTTTTCTGCAGGTTTTCTGCAAGTTTTCTGCAGGTTTTCTGGTAGTTTTTTGCGGGTTTTGTGGTAGTTTTTCTGCAAGTTTTCTGCAGGTTTTCTGGAGGTTTTCTGCAGGTTTTCTCGTACCAGACTCTCTCCCTGCGCCTGAGTCCCTCTCTG